GCCTGCTTCTCCCTCTCCCACTCCCCCTGCTTGTGTTCCCTCTCTCACTGTGTCTCTCTCTGTCAAATAGATAAATAAAATCTTAAAAAAAAAATTTAGTGCTCAAGCTCTCAGGGTTTTATAGTTTTCTGTGATTCATCTTGTATATCTGTATATTTATTCTTAGTTATTTGGTATTACTTGGTACAATTGTAAATGGCATTTTTTAAAGTTTTACTCAATAATTATGTGTTCTCTGGGATATAGAAATACAGGTGGCCCTTTTATATTCACCTTATATCCAGCAACTTTGCTAAACTTACTGATTAATTCTGATAATTTGTCTCTAGGTTCTTTTGAACTTTCTATGGAAAGGTTCATATCATCTACAAGTAATGACAGGTTTGTATTTGTTTGATAGAAATATAATTAAGTCATATGTGATTTTAAATTTTCTAGTAGCCACATTAAAAAGTAAAAAGAAACATGAAATTAATTTTAATAATATATTTAATAATATATATAATATATATATTTAACTAAAATACCAAAATATTATTTCAACATGTAACAATACAAAAATTATTAATGAGATTTTTACATCCTTTTTTTGTACTAAGTCTCCTAAATTTGGTGTATTTTATTTACATTTACAACACATCTCAGTTTAGAGAAGCAGTGTTTCAAATGCTAAGTAGCCACATGTGGCTAATGACTACAGTTTTGGACAGTGTAGGTCTAGAGGATGAGTCAAACTTTTTTAAACAAATAATTGTTTGATTATATGTATGTATAATCAAACAATTATACATACAATATGTATAATTATATACATATATAATGTATAACATACATTATGTATACATGTGTATATGTAATATACATATGTATAATATGCATATAATATACAATATAATGTGTAATATGTATAATTATATTTATGATTTTTTTTAAAGATTTTATTTATTTCAGAGAGAGAGTGAGAGAGAGAGCACAAGCAGGGGAGGGGCAGAGGGGGAAGTAGACTCCCTGCTGAGCAGGGAGCCCGATGTGGTGCTGGATCCTGGGATTCCAGGATCATGACCTGAGCCACCCAGGTGCCCCTATATGTATGATTTCTAATGGAGTCACTGAAGAAGCCTCTGTGTCATGATCATATATAAGTACCAGGGAGAAATTAGATTTTCAAGGAAGGTTTTACTGAAAAGGTGTCATTTGAATGTCTTGAACTATGAATATAAATTTGCCAGGTGAACAAAATAGGCAAAGAGAATAACATGTAAAATTGTGATGTTATATAAGAGTAGAATTTGTTCAGGGGCGCCTGGTTGCCTCAGTCTGTTGTGTGGCTGACTCTTGATTTCTGCTCAAGTCATGATGTCTGGGTCCTGGGATCGAGCCCTGCATCAGGCTCCCTGATCAGCCCGGAGTAATTTTCTCCCTCTCCCTCTGCCCCTCCCCCTCCCCCTGCTCATGCACCAGAGCTCCCTTGCTCTCTCTCTCTCTCAAATAAATAAATAAATCTTAAAAAAAAAGTAGAATTTGTTCAGAGACTTGCATATATTTCACTGTGGTTGGAGGATAGTTAGTTGTGTGAGAGAGGTAGGTGATTGGCTAGTAGTCCTTCACCAGTTCCCTGCGTTATGAGTAATTTGTAGTAGTGGTAGTTCACATGTTCCTTAAGATAAATTTCCAGAAGTGTAATTGCTGGGTCTAGTAGAATAAATATATTCCCCAATACATTCAGTGAATCTCAGGGTCTGAACTAATTTACACTGCCCCTAGCAAATATGATGGTTTCAGTGCATTGTCAACTGCTATAATCAGTGTATTTGTAATGGGCTAACTTTGTTGTATTTTGTTGATTACTGGTAAGGTTTAATAGTTTTTCTTATCAACAGTGAATACATTACTTCCATCTAGTTCTCAGATCCCATTCAGGCTTTCCAGTTGTCCCAGTAACATTCTTTACAGCAGAAAGATCCAGTTCAGGATCAGGCTTTTTTGCATCCGGTCTTCCCTTTTCTTTGGAGGAAAAGACATTTTCTTGACATTTTTGAAGATTATACATTGATTATTTTGTAGAATGTCTCCCAATTTGGTTTTGTCTGTTTCCTCATGATTAGATTCAAGCTCTAGATCTTTGGCAGGAACATCACTTCTTTAAGTTGTTGTTTTTTTATTTATTTTTTAGAGAGGGAGGGATGGAGGGAGAGAGAGAATTTTTTTTTTTTTAAGATTTTATTTATTTATTTGACAGAGAGAGAGACAGGGAGAGCGGGAACACAAGCAGGAGGAGTGGGAGAGGGAGAAGCAGGCTTCCCGCTGAGCAGGGAGCCTGATGCGGGGCTTGATCCCAGGACGCTGGGATCATGACCTGAGCCGAAGGCAGACACTTAATGGCTGAGCCACCCAGGCGCCCCAAATCTTTTTTTTTTTTAAGATTTTTATTTATTTGAGACAGAGAGAGCACAAGTGGGGAGGAAGTTCAGAGGGAGAGGGAGAAGCAGACTCCCCGCTGAGCAGGGATCCCAACATAGGGCTCGATGCCAGGACCCCAGGACCTGAGCTGAAGGCAGACACTTTACCCACTGAGCCACCCGGGTGCCCCTCTGTAAACATTTCTTTCTTTTTTCTTTTTTTCTATATATTTTGTTCTTTTTATTATTATTAACATATAATATGTTGTTTCAGGGGTAGAGGTCTGTGATTCGTCAGTCTTATATACAATACACAGCACTCCCCACAACACATATGCTCCCCAATGTCCATCACCCAGCCACCCCATCCCTCCCACCCCCCTCCATTCCAGTGACCCTCAGTTTGTTTCCTGAGATTAAGAGTCTCTTATGGTTTGTCTCCCTCTCTGGTTTCTTGTTTCATTTTTTCCTCTCTTCCCCTATGATCCTCTGCCTTGTTTCTCAAATTCCCCATATCAGTGAGATCATATGATAATTGTCTTTCTCTGATTGAGTTATTTCGCTTAGCATAAAACCCTCTAGTTCCATCCATGTCGTTGCAGATGGTAAGATTTCATTTTTTGATGGCTACATAATAGTCCATTGTATATGTATACCACATCTTCTTTATCCATTCATCTGTCGATGGACATCTGGGCTCCTTCCATAGTTTGGCTATAAGCAGGCTCCACGTGCAGTGCGGAGCCCAGTGTGGGGCTCAATCTTATGACCCTGATCATGACCTGAGCCAAAATTGAGAGTCTGATGTTGAACCGACTATGCAACCCAGGTGCCCCGAGAACATCACTTCTCATTGCAGCCTATCAAGAGGTACAGGACTTGGATTTGTTCACTTTGATCATTTGATCAAGGTGGAATCTACCAGGTTTTACTACTATTAAGTTACCTTTTTCTTTTGGAATTTATGTGGGTTGGGGGAGAAGACTTACCCAGGGTCATTACACTGTGAAACCCATTCCAAGGCCAGCACTTTTCAAGGTCTGTTTCCCTGTTGAAAACTCCTAGCCCACCGAGCACAGAAAGCAGTGGTAAGAAGAGGGAGCATGTGAACATGCAGGGACCAGCCAGTACCATCTATGCAAGTCCCCACCGGCTGGCTCCACGGCACCCACTTGTCACTCTGCAGCCCCTTGACATTTTTAGGCTTGCTGACAATCTTCCTGCCCTGTAACCATAATTGCTTGTTCAAGAAAATGTTGGAGAGAAAAATATTTACCAGAATAACTGCACCACACCCTAACTCTCATCTCTGGTGTCTGGCTCTTGTCTGCTCTGCCTGTATTTTCACCCTACATTGGGACCAGATGTCTCTGCGTTGTTCCAGGGATTTCTGTCCGTATTTAAACACAAATGAATTCTTTTGTTTAGTATAGGTTCATACTATACATACTGTCCAACAACTTGCTGTTTTTAAGATGGCTGATTACCATGATTGATTACATATGAAGGTAATTTGGATTTAACAAAATACAGCTTTAATATATATGTGTGTATGTGCGTGGTTTCTATATCTTTTTTACACTGAGGTGTCTGTGTATTATTGCCTTACCTCAAATATAATTTTAAGTTAGTGATAGGGTAGAGTGCAGTTGTTAGTGTTCTGTAAAGCACTTTTTAAAAAAATATTTTGGGGCGCCTGGGTGGCTCGGTCAGTTAAGTGGCTGCCTTCGGCTCGGGTCATGATCCCAGGGTCCTGGGATCGAGCCCCACATCGGGCTCCCTGCTCGGCGGAGAGCCTGCTTCTCTCTCTCCCTCTGCCTGCTGCTCTGCCTACCTGTGCTCTCTCTCTCTCTGTCAAATAAATAAATGAAATCTTTAAAAAAAAAATAAAAAAATATTTATTTGAGAGAGGGAGAGCACACAAGCAGGAGGAGAGGCAGAGGGGGAGGGAGAGAATCTCAGGCCGACTGCACGCTGAGCACAGAGCCCGATGTGGGGCTCCATCTCACAACCATGAGATCACGACCTGAGCTGAAGCCAAGAGTCGGACACTTAACCTACTGAACCACCCAGGTGCCCCTGTGAAGCACTTGATAATTGCCCTCTTTGGTTCTTTTAGGTTGTTATCCACCTAAAAATATTATGTTATCAACCTAAAAATATATCTTTTAGGTTGTTATCAACCTTTTAATTATTATGATACTGAAATAAATATCTTTATAGATAAAGTGTTTTACATTTATAGATCATTTTCGAGGATGGATTTACAGAATGGATCAAATAGATAAATAGGTCAGAAGGATCAACATTTTTGATTCTTAACCATGTAGAGGAGGACTTGGAACATAATAGGCATCAAATTAATGATTTTTGGATGAACGAATATTACAAAAATTACTTTCCAATACGGATATACCAATTTTCATCCGTACTGACAATATGAGATTGTTTTCCCACACCATCTTGCACTTACCGTATTTTGATGATTTGTGATCAGAAGAATTCTGTATCTTGAAAAAAATGCTATCAGATAATATAACTAGGATATGTTTCTCTTTTTATTTTCACCTACTGGATAAATGGACATATGTTTTCTTACAGGACTGAATTTGCACTTAACGAAATCATGTCCTCTGGAGGTGCTGAAGATGATATCCCACAGGGAGAGAGGAAAACAGTTACAGATTTTTGTTACCTTCTGGATAAGTCTAAGCAGTTGTTCAATGGATTAAGGTTAGTGGACTCTTGATGCTTTAAACTTTTCTGTATTTTTTTCCATGGCTGGTATGTGGTAAGTTTCTGAAAGTTATGGGTAGACTGTTTTGTAAATACCTGTATTAGAGGTTATCATGCTTTTTTCTTTGACACACTTGATTCTCAGATGAAAAAACAGTAGGAGAAAGGATAATTCCTATTTTTTTATTGAAGTTGAGAAGAACTGTTTTGTTAGATAGGTTTTATATACATTGTTCCACATCATACCTGATTTATATCTGATTTTACACATTGGGGTATTGAAGTTAATATATCTTTTAAGAAGACACTTACAATTATAAAGATAATTACAGGATCATCAAATGAATCCTCCATGACCACTATCTAAAGCTATACTTTCAAGTACTTTATCCCTGTATTCATTTAATTTTTTTAAGATTTTATTTATTTTGAGAGAGAGAGAGAGAGCACGAACAGGGGGTATGTATAGAGGGCGAGGGAGAAGCAGACTCCCCACTGAGCAGGGAGCCTGATAAGGGGTTCTATCCCAGGACTTTGGGGTCATGACCTGAGCCTACGGCAGATACTTAACCAACTGAGCCACCCAGGCGGCCCTAATTTTTTTTTTTAATAAAACTCATCACTATCGTGAGCGATTTTATTAATTTGCTTTATAATGTCTTCCTACCTAAAATTAAATGGTTGTAAGAGCAGACCCCTGTTTGTCACAGTTTCCGTAGTATGTAAGCCAGGGTTTGGCTCACTGCAGATGCTTCATAAACATTTGTTTATTTGTTGTTGTTGTTTTTAAAGATTTTATTTATTTATTTGACAGAGAGAGCGACAGCGAGAAAGGGAACACAAGCAGGGGGGAGTGGGAAAGGGAGAAGCAGGCTTCCTGCCGAGCAGGGAGCCCCATGCGGGGCTTGATCCCAGGACCCTGAGATCATGACCTGAGCCGAAGGCAGTCGCTTAACCAACTGAGCCATCTAGGCGCCCCTTCATAAACATTTGTTAAATGAAGGATTCCAAAGACAGTGTTAACTCCTGCACTCTGCTGCTTCCTATTTTGTGCTACAGAAGAATCTTTGAGATCTGCTTTTGCTTTTGCTAATAATCAGATTAATTGCATCTTTTTAAAGAATTATTTTCATTATTAAAATTTAAAAAATGAATTTTAAAGCCTAGGTTTTAAGTCTTCTTTTTTTCCCCTGGAATATCATAAATCTTTAAAATTTTTTTAAAAAATTTAAAAAGATTTTATTTATTTATTTGACAAGAGACAGTGAGAGAGGGAACACAAGCAGGGGGAGTGGGAGAGGGAGAAGCAGGCTCCCCACTGAGCAGGGAGCCCGATGCGGGGCTCAGTCCCAGGACCCTGAGATCATGACCTGAGCTAAAGGCAGACGCTTAACGACTGAGCCACCCAGGTGCCCTGTAAATCTTTAAAATTTACATGTTTAGACTTTTTTCTTCTTTGGTCGCCAGTATTATCCAGGTGAACCTTGTTTATTCAGCATTTACTTGAGCCCCAGTATGTGCCACATTCTGTATTGGGTACAGATAATTTAAAGATAAAACAACCAGTCCCTGCCATCAAATAGTCTGTGATGAAATTAGAAAAACACAAATCTGTAGCCTCAGATTTAGCGTATTTGTTTTTTTTTGGTTTTTTTGGTTTTTTGTTTTTAAAGATTTTATTTATTTGACAGAGAGAGAGACAGCGAGAGAGGGAACACAAGCAGGGGGAGTGGGAGAGGGAGAAGCAGGCTTCCCCGTGGAGCAGGTAGCCCGATGCGGGGCTCGATCCCAGGACGCTGGGACTATGACCTGAGCCAAAGGCAGCCGCTTAACGACTGAGCCACCCAGGCGCCCCTCCATCCATGTTGATGCAAATGTTGGGTTGTCATTCTTTCTGATGGCTGAGTAATATTCCATTGTATATATGGTCCACATCTTCTTTATCCATTCATCTTTTGAAGGACATCTCCGCTCCTCCCACAGTTTGGCTATTGTGGACATTGCTGCTATGAACATTTGGGTGCATATGGCCCTTTTTTTCCCTACATCTGTATCTTTGGGGTAAATACCCAGTAGTGTAATTGCTGTCATAGGGTAGCTCTATTTTTAACTTTTTGAGGAACTGCCATACTGTTTTCCATAGTGGCTTTACCAACTTGCATTCCCACCAGCAGTGTAAGAGGGTTCCCCTTTCTCCAACATTTGTTACTTTTGTCTTGTCAATTTTTGCCATTCTAACTGGTGTAAGGTGGTATCTCAATGTGGTTTTGATTTGACTTTCCCTGATGGCTAATGATGATGAACATATTTTCATGTGTCTGTTAGCCATTCGTATGTCTTCTTTGGAGAAGTGTCTGTTCATGTCTTCTGCC